GGATCCCCTGGAACTGGAGTTAGCCATGTCACCAGCCCCCTACCCCATTTGTAGAATTTTACTAGGAATTTTTACATCTATGTTGATCAAAAAAATGATCTGTAGTCTTATTTTTTGTTGTGGGTTTCTTGTTTGTGACAATGTCTCATGTACTGTAGGTTGGCTTGAACTCAATGTGTAGCCGAGGACAACCTTGAACTCCTTATTCTTCTGCCTCTCCCTCCCAAGTACTAGGATTACAGGTGTGAACCACCACACTTGGCTCTGGTTTTCTTTCTTGTGTCCTTAACTGGTTTTGGCATCAGAGTAATGCCAGCTTCACGGAATGATTTGGTAGTTTTCCTCTTTCTGTTTTATGGAAAAGTTTCTTGCCAGATGTGGTGGTGTACGGTTTAATCTCAGCACTCTGGAGGCAGAGGCGGGTGGATCTCTGTGAGCTCAAGGCCAGCCTGTTCTACATAGTGAGTTCCAGGCCAGCTGGGGCTATAGGAAGACCCTGTCTCAAAAAAAGACCAAAATCATTCTGTTAGTCTACATTTTCTTAATTTCTGCCTGATCTTTAATATCTCTTGTTGTTTACTGCTTTGGGACTTGGTGTCTTGTTTTTCTAAGACTTTGAGGTGCACTGTTAGGATATTTAAGATCTAGCTGGCGTTTTTGTTTTGTTTTGTTGGGGAAGGGTTTCATATAGGTTAGACTGGCCCCAGATTCTATATGTATCTGAGGCTCCTGAACTCCTGATCCTCCCACCTTCACTTTCCAATGCTGGGACTGCAGGCATGTATCACCATGTTTGGATTGAAATCCCTCTTATTTTTTAATGTGAAAACTCATAACAAAGCCAGTGAAATGGCTCAGTGGGTGTATTAGTTACTTTTCTGTCGCTGTGATAACATCATAACCATAGCAACTTACAGAAGGAAAAGTTTATTGGGCTTATAACTAGAGGGATAAGAGTCCATCCTGGCAGGGAAGCACAGCAGCAGAGGCAGCCGTACCAGAAAGCTGAGAGCTCACATTTGCAAGCAAGCACAGGAAGCAGGGAGAAACTGGCAATGGGACATGGCTCTGAAAGTTCATAGTTCACCCCAGTGATGTGCTTCTCACCTACTAGAGTGACCTTCCCAAAACAGCATCACCAACTGACCGAGTGTTCAAATACTTAAGCCTATGGGAGATACCTCATTCAAACCACTGCTATAGGTAAGAGCTCTTGCTGCCCAAACCTGATGACATGAGTTCTGTGCCTGGAACCCACATGGTAGAAGGAAGAAAATGACTCCCACAAGTTGTCCTTTAACTTCCACATGTGCACTGTGACATGCACGAGCCCACACGCGCACGCACATGTGCGCACACGCACACACACACACACACACACACACTAACTAAATTTTAAAGCTTCATAATTGGACCAAGTGTGGTGGTACACACTGATAATCTCAGCACTAGGGAGGCAGAGGCAGGCAGATCTCTGAGTTCAAGGCCAACCTGGTCTACATAGTGAGTTCCAGGCCAGTTGGGGCTACAGAGAGACCCTGTCTGGTAAAAAAAAAAAAAAAAAAAAGAGAAATTCCTAGCTGAAGCCAAAGACAACAATGACCTGAACTAGAGCCATATTGTTAGAGTAGCAATAAGGACTCATTAAGAAGGCTGGAGAGATGGCTCAGTGGTTAAGAATACTGAATGCTCTTGCAGAAGACCCAGGTTCAGATCCCAGCACCCACATGGCAGCTAACAACTGTCCGTAACTCCAGTTCTAGGGGATCCAACACCATCTTCTGACCTCCACAGGCATTGCACAACACAGGTGCACTTCCATACTTGCAGGCAATACACCCATACACATAAAATAAAAATAATAAGTTGGGTGTGGTGGCACATGCCTTTAATCCCAGTACTCAGGAGGCAGAGCCAGGCAGATCTCTGTGAGTTCAAGGCCAGTCTGGTCTACATAGTGACTCCAGGACAGCTGTGGCTACAGAGAGACCCTGTCTCAAAAAGACCAAAAAAAAAAAAGATTTTAACTCACTTTTTTGAGATGTGGGAAGATGGAGTGGGATGCTGATATTGCATTAACCAGGAGGGATACAGGGCCTCAAGCAGATAAAAACGTCAAATGTAGGATGTTCATATTCATCTACTTAATACCTTTTCCACCCTGAACCCAAATATTGACACTTTTGGTTAAGCTGGGAAAATTATTGAGTACTAAAAATACAAAACCATTTATGGTATTTATGTATTTAACATCTACTACTGTGAACTGAAGTTCCTAGGGGAAAAAAAAGCCACCACTGTGTTAAAAAGTCTAAAAGACTAGGGGGCTGGAGTGATAGCTCAATGGTTAAGAGCACTAGTTGTTCTTGCAGAAGACCCTGGTTTGAATCCCAGTACTCACATGGCAGTTAACAACTGTCCATAACTCCAGTCCCAGGGGATCTGACAGCCTCTTCTGTCCTCCATGGGCATTGCACAACACAGGTGCACTTACCTACATGCAGGCAATACATGCATACACATAAAATAAAAATAATAAAATAAAACTTTTAAAAAATTTGAAAAGACTGGTTAACTGATTAGAATTTCTGTGAGTGTGGAGAGTTGAATATTGCAGGTTTAAAGCCAAATTATCTTGGGCTATCTTTAACCCCTTTAATAGCTATTTATTGTCCATCTCTGTGTTTGTTCTAACATCTTGTGACTCTCAGATAAAATCCTTTGGAACTAGGGAGCTGGAGAGATGGCTCAGTGGTTAAGAGCACTTGCTGCTCTTGCAGAGGACCTAAGTTCAGTTCCCAGCACCCACCTGGGGCAGCTCACAACTTTCTGTAACTTTAGTTCCAGAGTATCCAATGTGCTCTTCTGGCCTCTGGAGGCACTATAAGCACATAGTGTACTCACATACATGCAGGCAAAACACTCACACACATAAAATAAAAATAAATATATGTTTAAAAAATATTTTATTTATTTTTATTTTATGTGTATAAGTGTTTTGCCTGCATGATGTGCACAATGCACACGTAGTGCCCTGAGAGGGCAGAACGCCATATCAGATCCCCTGGAGTTACAGATGAGTGAATTGCTATGTGGATGCTGAGATCTGAAGCCAGGTCCTCTACAAGAGCATCACGTGCTCTTAAACACTGAGCTGTTTCTCTAACCCCATCTTGTTTTCTGTTACTTTTCATTGTTAAGTCTCATGTAGCTCAGGCTGGTCTTGAACTCCTAAGCCTCCTGCCATAGTCTCCCAAGTGAGGGGTTTACAGGCGTGAGCTGCCATATTGGCCTGGAATTGTTGCCTGCCTCTGCCTCCCGAGTGCTGGGATTAAAGGCATGCACCACAATGCCTGGCTTTATTATTATTATTTTAATGTGTATGAGTATATTGCCTGCATGTATGTGAGTGCACCTGTGTCATGCAATGCCTCGGAGGTCAGAAGAGGGCTTCAGATTCCCCTGGAACTGGAGTTAAAGATGGTTTGTAGTCATCATGTGGGTGCTGGGAATCGAACCCTGGTCCTCTGTAAGAGCAGATTGTGCTCTTAACCGCTGAGCCATCCATCTCTCCAGCCCCATAGTTTTATTATTATTTTTTAATTTTATGTGTATGTGTGTATTGCCTGCGTGTCAGTAAGTGCACCCGTGCCGTGCAATGCGCATGCAGGACAGAAGAGGCTGTCGGATCCCCTGGAACTGGAGTTACAGGACAGTTGTTAGCTGCCATGTGGGTGCTGGGATTGGAACCCGGGTCTTCTGCAAGAACAACCAGTGTTCTTAACCGCTGAGCCATCTCTCCAGCCTATATATATATTAAATCCTTTTGGACCTGGGTGTGGCGGTGTACGCCTTTAGTCCCAGCACTTGGGCAGCAGAGGCAGGTGGATCTCTGAGTTTAGGCCAGCTGAGGCCATAGGGAGACCCTGTCTGAAAAGACCAAAAAAAAAAAAACCAAACTCCCCCTCCAAAAAAATGTACTTTTGGAATGTACAAACTACTAGCTTTCATTAACCTAAAGGCTGAAAATATCAACAGACTTTGGCTGAGACCTTTAACAGAGATTTCCCTGTTTTGCTGTAACCCACCCACCTAATGTTCCAACCAATGAATTTTTTTTGGTCTTTTTGAGACAGGGTCTCCCTGTAGCCCCGGCAGGCCTGGATTCACTATGGAGACCAAGCTAGCCTGGAACTCTGCCACCCAAGTGCTAGGATCAAAGGCATGCACCACCATGCTGGGCTCCAATGAATTCTTTTTAATATGATAATTTATTACTACTGTGTTTCTACCATCAACATTTATAATCTAAGGGGTTGAGGAGATGGCTCAGGTTAAGAGGACTTAATTCAGTTCCCAGCATCCACATTGGGTGGCTCACAATTGCCTATAACTCCAGCTCCAGGGGATCTGACGCTATCTTCTGGTCTTCATGGCATCCCCACACATATGTACACACACACATACACATAAATAGTAAAAATAAACCTTAAAAAAAATGTATGATCTTGGTCTTTCTTGCCTTTGAATGGACTAGATATTAGTTACTTTAACGACTTTAAAGCGGACTCCAGAAATTTCACCACCTTCATGAGCTTTTTGGCCAAAATTGGTAACCAGAAGTCCTGGGTTCCATCTGGGGCACCACATAAACAGTGTGTAATGAGGCACACCTGTAATCCCAGCACTTAGGCGTTGGAGGCAGAAGGCCGGGGGAACAGTAAGTACTCCAAGGTCATCCTTGACTACGGAGTTAGTTGGGGCTACATGAGAACCCTGTTTCCAAAACAAAACAAAGACTCTAGCTACATATTTTCTCTATAGGACCTCATTAGCTGAAATTTGGACATCACTCCTCTCCACAGAAAAAAATAAACTACAGCCCAGTGGAGACTAGAAGTCACTGAGATGGCGATTTCCCCGGGGCACTGGCTTTACGTCACCGTGCTGCCCTGACACCGGCTGTACCACGTGCTCCAGGAGCAGGCCAGCTACCGGGCCATCTCCCGCCCGGGGGCGTGTCTTGTGCATCCTTGGAGCAATATGGCGCTGCCCTTTGCACGCTGGTGGAATTTGTGCCGCTGGGGAACCAAAAGATGTGGGTTTGCTGTCCGGGAAGCCCGGAGAGGTAGGATTATCTCCTTTGACTCTTTTATTTCCAAAATAGTTTCTGTGTTGGTCCTAGAGAGTGCTCTGAGAACTCCGCTCCATCTCTTCTCCCCTTTTAGCCTTAGTCCAAGCCCCGGACACCTTTCAGTTTACTAACCCCATGCGTGCTGCGAGGCTCCTGGGGCTGCCCATACTACAGCGACACCCCCATATCGGCATTGGGCTGTCCCCTGCTTCCTCATCGTCTCCTGACTGCCTGCTGCTGATCCAGCCCTAGAGTTCTAGCCTGTCATGATTTCTTTTTGCTCTGCCCGCAGGCGTCAGTTTCAAACTGGAAGAAAAAACTGCCCACAGTAGCCTGGCACTCTTCAGAGGTGACACAGGAGTCAAATATGGCTTGGTGGGATTGGAGCCCACCAAGGTGGCCCTGAATGTGGAGCGCTTCCGGGAGTGGGCGGTAGTGCTGGCAGACAGTGCGGTCACCAGTGGCAGACACTACTGGGAGGTGACAGTGAACCGCTCCCAGCAGTTCCGAATAGGAGTGGCAGATGTGGACATATCCCGGGATAGCTGCGTCGGTGTTGATGATCGTTCCTGGGTGTTCTCCTATGCCCAGCGCAAGTGGCACAGCATGTTGGCCAACGAGAAAGCCCCAATCGAGGGTATCGGGCAGCCGGAGAAGGTGGGGCTGCTGCTGGACTATGAGGCCAAGACGCTGAGCCTGGTAGATGTGAGCCAGGTCTCAGTGATCCACACACTACAGACAGATTTCCGGGGCCCCGTGGTGCCTGCTTTTGCGCTTTGGGATGGAGAGCTGCTAACCCACTCAGGGCTTGAGGTGCCAGAAGGCCTCTAGTGTGTCCCTTCCTGGAGTCTCCTAATCATGCTCTTGGCCAGCCTTCTGTTCAAAGTGTTTACAGCTGTTTGACTTTGCCTCAAGCCGGGGTAGCTCCTACAATTGTTTGGATTCTTTGTGTAGTCCTTGTCCTCAGGCCCCTACCCTGTGAAAACCAGGTACACAGCCAAACTCTACCCCAGTATTACTGCCAGTTTCCTAATAGTGATTTTCCCCCTGACGCGCCTCCTTAGGTTTGTTTACTCATGTCCAGATATTTCTGACCGTTCAGTCCTGGGGTCTTGTCTTTCACCTGTTTGAATTTACTCACTGCTACCTCTCCCTCCTTACCCCCTGTAACTTATTTTGGGGGTTCACCATATCCTCTGGAGTGTTTTCTACCTCTGGGTGGAGAAGCAGTGGCCAGATACTTGGCCCTTTCTCTGAAGAACTCTAGACTCTGAGTTCCGGCTGCTCAATGTTTTGTTGACTCAGTGGGTCAGCGGCAGAATACAGCCCCCTCCCCAGCACTTCAACAGCAGGTGATAGCCCTGCAGACCCAGCTCTCCTTATTCCAACTCCCTCAACCTTCAGTGCACATCTCTGACACCCAGCCAGTTTGTCATTAACCATTTTGCCAGTTACAGCTGTGACCAAAGGAGAAGCGACACTGAGGGGATATCCAGGATTCTAGTGCCAGAAGCTTTATTCTTGAGACAGTCCATCTTCCTGTCTGCCACAGTTGAAAGCTTAAGAGAAAGGAGGGAGGTTTTGCACAATCCATTTTTGGGCCTTTTTAGACCCAAACCCCCATTCCCCTTGGCCACAGACTATACTTCATCTAATGCAGTATTTTGGGTTGAGGAAAAGCTGGTGGAGTAGGTGAATTATGTATGCAAACCACATTGTTTGGGCTCCATCTGACCCTGTGGTCCTGTCTTTTTCTACCTTCTATGATGGTGATGAAGCTGGATGTCCTTAGGGGAGAAAAAGAATGACTAGATTTAGCAAAAAATAATTTGTGTAATTAAAGTTTATTTGAACACAAAATACTTTCTCTGTCTATAAAATTTCTGTCAGCAGTAGCAGCAGCAGCATATCCTGGCTAAGGGGGACAAATCTCTGCAGATTTCTAAAGCCAAGTGCTTGGGTCCCCTATTTCCTTCTTTGTGACATATGTATCTGTGACAGATATATATGCATGGTAGCTAGAGTTCCTCCACCGAAATCTCTTGCTCTCATGATGATTTCTTCTGGAAGAAGAAAGAAGGACCTGGATAAAGACCTGGGCTGCTTCCAAGTGGGCCAAGCCATTGGGCTACACCTTGAGTCTCTGTGGATAGCTCTACTTCAGGGTGTCCATTGAGGCTCTTCTCTGTGCTGTTTACTGAGGAAATGGGGTATTTAGCCTCTCACAGAAAACATTGGCCTATGTCACCAAATGGCTTTGCTGGACCCCACTGAAGCAGCTTTCCATAGCATTTTTGGTGGCTGATAGTTTAAGTGTGTAGCCAGCTGATCAGGGACTGCCCCTGACCTGTGCTCACACCATACTTTCTAAGTTCTCTTTGGATAGGGTCTCAGCTGCAGCCTCAGCCTGAGTCTCAGAGAGCACATAGGAGTCCTGGTAATCTTGAAGCAGTTTGACCACCTCCAAGTGGTTGAACTGCACAGCATCATCCAGGGGAATGTTGCCCCATCTGCAAGGAACAATGATCATGCCAAGCAAAGAAAACACGGACAGTGCCATATTTGTATACATATGCATAAGCCGGGCCACCCTCCTTCCCTTTTAGCCTAATCCTACTCACCTGTCCTTAACAAAAGGATTCACTCTGCAAGCCTCAATCAGAAATTTAACAACTTCAATGTGTCCTAGAATATGGGTAAAAGGAAAATGAGAGGACCCTTGGCAGCTGTAGTCTGTACCAAGAAAGGAGAAAAGTCCTCTGCATTTTGTTCCTTGCCAACAACTAGCAATAGTCTAGGTGAAGGGCTGTTGCCCCTTAAGGACACATACAATGATGGGGGTACTCCTGATGGAAGAGTCTTACACTCTGCTTTCCCTCTTTAACCCTTTCGATACCTTCAGCTGCAGCAACGTGCAGAGCTGTGCGGGAGTCATAGTCCTTTTGCTCCATGTCCATGGCTGACAAAGCAAACCTGAGGGTAGTGGAAAGCAACTAGGGTTACCCACACCAGTCTAGAATCACTAGATTCCTTTCTGAAGTAGGGTCAGACTGAATGGGTTCATGTTGGTCATCCACTTGAGGCAGAGTCCTCACCTCCAAGGACCACGCTCAGCATACCCAAGTTAATCACAGTGACTACCATTAATTCTTAATTTATGGTAAGCACTTGGCTTTACAACAGAAACAAAATCAGAAACCAGGTTGGAGAGAGAAAGAGAGCTCAGTCAGTAAATTGTCTGCCATGCAGGTATGAGGACCTGAGTTTGAGCCATACAACCCACATAAAAAAGCCAGGCATAGTGGCACATGCTTATAATCTCAGACCTGAGGCTTGCTAGCCAGCCAGCCTACACTTCCTTGAAAGCTCCAGACCAGGGAGAGACCTTGTCTCAAAAAATAAAGTGGCTGGGCTTCATGGCACATACCTTTACTCCCAGCACTAGGGAGGCAGAGGCAGGCAGATCTCTGTGAGATCAAGGCCAGCCTGGTCTACATAGTAAGTTCCACCTGAATTTGTCCTCTGACCCTCACATGCATGCATACCCAGATACATGTACAAGGGCACAAACAGGCACATACACACAAACTCATTTAAATAATACAATCTGTGTCAATTCCATCTAACCCTAAAATCGAAGTATTTAAGTTTGCTATGCTGTCTCCTAATAAGATCTTTGAGAAAGAACTTTTTATTTATTTAGACACAGTAGAATTACCTTCGAAGAGCTGAGACATCTCCACTATATGCAGCAAATAATAGGTTCACCACAGTCTTGTTCTGGAAAACATGTCATACCCTGAGATCAATTGTGGCTTTGAATCTACCCAGGCCCAGCTCTGCCCTGTGATCATGCTCCATGGTGTTTCACCGAGAGGACTACTTGAGTCTTACAGAATGTTTATTCTGAAACATCCTTCTAGACTACCTGGGGATTTCCTTACCCGAACTTCTCCTCCTTCTCGCCGTGGGTCTAACTTCCGAGCACAGTGCCGCAGGTTGTCATAGTTGTGGAAGTTAAAGAGAGACACCAACTTCTAGAATTATAAGCCAAGGAATTGTTTACTTATTCCTTATACTTTCTAGGAGCTCCAATTGCCTTATTTATAGTGGCTACCGTCCATTTATTGCTTAATTTAAAGTGTGAAGTACTATATGCAGAGAACTCACCTGGCAGAAGCTGATGCCCCTTTGGCTGTTCCCCAACTTGTCCAATGGAGGCGACAGACACATCAGTCCCATGACATTGGGTACCACCAGAAGGATGGCTCCTGACACAGCTGACTTGGCAGGCAGGCCCACCTAAAGAACAGATTTGAAGCTGAGGAGAGGCTGAAGTTTCCCAAATTTAAGAAAATAAACAAGTGGGACACAACCCACCTCAACATTTTGGCTTATTAATTCATTTTTACTGCTATCTTCCCCCAACCATTCGTTAACACAACCAGGAAATGCTTGTTGGGATATTAATAGCACTCTGCTGAAACTGGGAAATAACCTCTCACTCAGTTTTTATTCTGGTGGTCAGAGATAGGCAAAAGTAAACAGACAGAGGTCAGTGAGATGGTTTGATGGTTTGTCAGGAAAAGGCATTTCCTGTGCAAACTTAACAACCTGAGTTTGATCCCCAGAACCCATGTAAAGTATGGAAGCCCATGTAAAGGAATAAACCAACTTCAAAACATTGTCCTCCGACCTCCACACATACAGTGTGGCACACGAGCCACACTCCCTGTTATGCACACATACACATTAATAATAAATACATTTTAAAAACAAAAAATTGACAAAATAATTATAATAAGCCCTTAAGACAAGAACTAGTATGCTGTGAATAAAGGTGTCTGAGATAGAACAGTCAGAAAAACCCCCTAGACCAAGGGATGTAGTTCAGTGGTAGAGTACTTGCCTAGCATGGTTAAGGCCTAGGTTTGATTCCCCAGGGCCATATCAAACAAGGAAAAAAGTCAAGTATGGTAGTGTATGCCTGTAATCTAAGTCCTTAGGAGTCTAAGACTAGCTTGAGCTACATAGTGAGACCCTGTCACACACGTACACATGCACGCATGCCAAGAAAAAACATGCCTCTCCTGCCTCTCCTTAGAAATGACATCTAAACTGAAAGCCAGCTACGGAAAGGGTATATGTATAATTTGAGGAATGTAATGTGTTTGACAATCTCCTCTAAGGATGATTAGCCTAATTGCCTGACTGGATGTTTGTGACTGGGAGGCAGGAGTAAGCTTCTACCACTATCCTTTCTGGGCACTGGGCTCATGGCAGAGGGACAGAAGTACTAGAAACACTCACATGGAAGGCAAACTGGCCAGAGAAGTCATACATGCCACAGGAGTGCATGAGGCTGAGGGTGTTGCGTACTGCCTCAGCACTTAGCACGCTCTCGCCTGTGATGGGGCAGATCCCACCATTGGCAAGGGTGGCTGCCATAACACTGCCTGATTCACAGGTAACCTCCACGGAGCACAGCTGTCAGAAAAAGGAAAAGTGAAAGAGCCGTGTGGACATAAACATAGGACTCCTGGGTGTACAGCACTGTTCTTGACATCTAGACCTTTCAACAAGTTCCTGACAGAACCACCAGAGAGGAGTGTCCACCGTGTAACTCAGGGAAAGTGGGCAATCTGTCCTGTTCCCTTGGCCCTGAGAGTGTTTGCTTACCTGGAAATAGAGATCAAGGGCAGCCATCATATCCACTCCCTTAGGAAAGCACTGCAAGGAAGAGCAGGTGACGTACTCTTCAGGACATAGTTCCACTTTACCAGGGGCTCAGCTAACATCCCCAGCCCTTTGCCCTTCTACTAACATAATTCTCAGGGACTTTCTCTGCCGGCCTCTCCCAGTTACCTTCTTTTCCTTGAGATAATAGCCGATGGCATAATTCCGATCCCCAGTTTCCTTCTCTGACTGGAATCTGAAGCAAACACCCAATTTAGTGCTTGAAGTTTAAGAGGTGGATAGGGGAAGAGGAGAAAACTTTCCTGGGATACAGAATTATATTACATGTGTCAAACTGTATCAGCCCATTTATACCATCTCACAGAAATGCTAGTGGAAACTTCTGAACCTGAGCAAACACTCAGCATAGATTTGTGGTGAAATGTAAACACAGCACAACGAAAACCCACCCAAAGCTGTCTGGTCATTCCGTCGAGGAAAACTGGCAAGGTTTTGGGCTGAGAGTCTTGACTAGGGCTCAGGCATAAACGGTCATACTGACTTTTTCATTACATGCTAAGAAGAAATGGGATGTTATTTCACTAATAAATGTCAGTGAAGGAGCTCAGAGGAATCTGGGAGGCCAAAGTTCCCCTTGAATTTCTTCCGAAGATGATATATATTCTTTCTCTTCCTCCCTCTCTCTACCTTCCCCATCCAGTATACACATATAACACCACAATGTACTCAGTCCTCTAAACACAGCCTTACGTGGCATTGCTGAACCCCATGAATTCATTCCCAGCCATCTTGTTCAGATACTGCAGCACCTGGAAGAAAAGAGGGGAGAGGATGGCGCCCTTTGACTAAGGAGCCCTCCCAAACTCAGCCCAGGCTGAGAGCCCTTCTGAGCCTTTCAGTCCTTGTCCCAGCTTTGCTCAAGAGAGCCAGCAGGGTCCACTCCTCTGGAGATACTGCTTCTAATATGGG